AGGAATGCAGGCCTGGGAGTGGGAAACAGAGAAGAAAGGGAAAGCCAGGAGAAGGTCTAGGTATCCAGCTGTCCACCCATGCAGGCAGCTGGTGCTCAGTCCCACCAGGCGCTTTTAAGAAGTCTTACGACATGAGACCCAGAACTGTTCCCAAAAGGACAGAGACTGCAGGGGGAGAGGCAGCTCCAGAGGCTGCCATACCCCACTAGTCACAGGGGACCTCCAGAGGCCTTAACTCCACACGCTCCAGGCTGAGTGAGTGTGAGTGCAGAGAGCCCTCCTGTGGGCAGAAGTGAGAGGTATTCTCGGCGGGCCAGGGCAGGCGCCTTCTGACGGGCTCCTCGTGCAGTTTGTTAGAGCAGGCATGAAGCTGGACACTACATCAATGGCTGCAGTATGAGGTGGGACCGAAGATTCTGATGTGGTGAGCTGAAGTGTCCTACAGAGGGCTATTGTAAAAATTAAATGTAAACTACTTAGCACAGTGCTGGACATGGTATAGGCTCTCAGTAAACAGTAATTGGTAGATTCGTTTTCCCTAATGATAACAAACTCAAAAGGAATACAGTCTAACAGGGTAACAGACTTATAAACACCTAGCAGAATAAAACTGATACTAAGCTAATACTGGATGTGCTTGGATTCCTCATATAAACGAAAATAACAGATACTCTAGAAGCTTTTCCTTTTCTAAGTGAAGGGAATGAGGAAGGCGGTAGCTGTACTGAAGCTGACTTGAGCTTACCCTGTCTGAGTGATGAGAAAATGCTATTGCCAAAATAGAGACTATAGAATACAGGCAGGATTTGGAGGGAGATCATCGATTCTGTTTATTCTAGGCCCTCTCTTATCCCGGGCCATCTCGCTGGAGCACCTCATCTACTCCTGTGGCTTGGATTTCCAAGCATGTTGATGTGATCCACATCTCTCTCTCCAGCCCAGACCCGAGTTCAGACCGTTATACCCATTTGGTTGTACCTCAGGCACCTTAAAATTAATAGATCCAACACTCAACTAGTCCATCTTCCCCTACTTCATCCCCCATCTCTAATCAGCTTCTCCCTTTTCTCCTATGTCAGAAATGACAGAGCAGAAGCTTAGCCTCCATACTTTCCCCCTTCATCTCCCACATCCCCACTAGCTCCCAACATCAGGATTCACTGCCAACTCCTAACTAATCTACCTCCTAAGCAGCTCTTTTTATTTGGGATTCCACCACTGTAACCCAGGCTGTCTCTTACCTGGGTTACTAGAACGGCTTCCCACTAGTCTCCTAACTAAATCCCAGTAGTCTCCATGCATCTCCAGTCTTGGTTCCAGCAAATTTATCTTTTCTTACAAATCTGCTCATTTTAGTCCATCCATTGTCTTCCCACTGTCCAGTGATAAGCACAGTATCTGACCCATGGTACAACTCACTAAATACGAAAGGAACAAAGAAGACAAGGCAGGAGTTCACTTGGGAAAGGTTACAACAAAACATGGCAGTTTGGAAGTCCGCAATATCCGTGGTGGGTTAAACACTAGGAGTAGATGAGGTCACCCATTCTCTTACCTTTATTTTCGTTTTACTGTTTTTGTTTTCCCTTAAGCTTCTCTCATTCCAACTCACTTTTTCCTGTGTTACATTTCTTGTCTTGGGTAGGTTCTCTGTCTTCAACAGATTAAGTGCAAAGTAAAATAATGATTCATGTACTAGTACAGAGGAATAACAAATCAATTGTATTATCTAACACTTGTATCGTGCTTTACAATTCATAAACCCGTCCTATTAATTCAAGAAACAGAGACTTTCAGGAACTATAACTTTTTGTCTTTCTTTTAAAGAACAAAGAGTGGAAATGGTGCTTTATGTTCACATGTGAAGGGTCATGAGACATAGGTGGAGGACTCTGCTTGTCATGCTTTAGAACTTGATTTGTGACTCTTACATATAATGAATTGACTATAATATTCCTCCCCTCACTTCACTCAGCCAAACGGTCTTTACTGTTTTCCCCAAGTTCATTTTAGAGCACCGCCAGGATGTCCTGCATTGAAATAACCTGGATCCCACGTGGGGAACTTTTTCTGACTCAGCTGTCTCCTTCCTTCCTCCAGAAGGGAATGTGCACCCACTGTCCCCCATTTCCTTGCCTCTCATCACTCACACCTCAGCTAATTCCATCTCAGTTGACTCTTTTCTTATATACAGGCACACATAGGGACACTGACCTTCAGCCTTATTTCAGAAGAAAGGCTTGCATGGAAATTTATTTCAAATTTTAAATTAATTGCACTTTTGAAATTGAAAACTATTATTGGCACAGCTATTTCAGAGATTCTTTTCATGTGTAGAGAAAGTAATCCTTTGTCCTTATTCCTTCTACTATTTTAATAAATATTAAAACCAATGAAATTGTTCATACTTTGAACCGGCATCAGTTAACATTGGTATTTGAAAACAATTTGAAATACAATTTGTATTTCCCAGAGATTCCGTCACTCAGCAAAAGGAGAGAAAATTGTTAGCTGGATTAATTTTTGTGAAGTAGCCTCTTTTTCAGTTAACCAATAACAAGAAGAAATTGATAACTGATATACTGGGGAAACTGATAATTTTTTTAAACTTTCTTCCTTTCTTCAACAAACCCAGAAGTGAACACCCACTTGCTCAGCTCTACTGCCATTCAATCATGGAGCATCATCATTTTGACCAGTGCCTGATGATCCTTAATAGTCCTGTAAGTACCTAATTTATGGTTGTAGAATTTTAACAGAGCGCTTTATAAATTCAGTTTTATTTTTAAGTTTTGGATTTATTCCCAACAACATAAATTCTTGAGCATGCTTTATTCCTTTTTGGGTAAGAAAGGCAAAGCCAAAACATTTGAGATCTTCGCAGCCTCACTTCTCTAGAAACCAAAACTGTCTAAATGTTGCCTGAAGAGGGGAAACTGGTTACTCACCTCCATTTGGTTATTCCAAATTGGAAGCAAACAAAACTGGTATTTTATGGCTCTCAGTTCTGTTTTTGTTTTTACTTTTGTCAAATGACGTGGTTTATACTACTCTCAAAGGTTTTCTTTCATAAGGCAACACCTTTTCCTCTTTTTGTGGAAACTTTTGACCACTAATAAACATTTTCGTTAAGGAATAAAGCTATTCAACAATTTGGCTAAATGAATATTTATCAATGTAAGAAAGCATATAATATGTTACTCTACTCATATTTATGTTAAGGAAAATAAGGTTAAAATGATATATGCCAAAATGTTCGCAACGGCTGTCTTTGTCTAGTTAAACTATTAATACTTTTTTTATTTTCTGGTTTTGACTTGTTGTTCATTATTCACATTACCCATTGTATGCGTATATTACCTTTATAATAAGAAAACAGTGAAAGTTGTAGACGATTACGTTGAACAAGCACAAACGCACGGTATATAATTTTAAAGCAGTTTTACCTCCATCACTTTACATTTGCCCAGTGGCACTAGTTCTTCCCCGAGCCCCAGAAAACACAGGCGGCCCGTGACTTTTGTGGTCACTCTTTGGTAAGTTTTACCCTCTAGTTACTACTTCAGGTCCTAAAATATAGCATACAGTTCTCAATTTAGAAACCAAAATGTGCAGCCCTATGTAGTAGTCCAGATTTGGGGCTTGACTTAAAGTTTCAGGTTCTCTTTTCCCACCCTGGTTGGCTCCTTTCGTCCCTCCCTTATGTTTCTTCTGACTCCTTCACCCCCAAACCCCCATGTCCCTTCCTACTCCCCCAGACTTGGAGAATAGGAAACAAGAGGGGTAAGAACATTCTCAACAGACTGGTAGTGTGTTGAGTGTCCCCCTGTCTGTGCCTGGTAGGTGTTTAAACCAAGTTCTTTTCTTACGAGTAATTCCGTGATCCTGGCCGAGCGCCTTAACGGTGTGGCTTTTCCACTGACGTCGCCTTAATATGACCTGTCCAGTTTATCACCTTATGGCTCCTTCCTCAGCTCCTGGAACTCTGATTGTTGGCTTTCAGCTCCTTTCTGCTAAGGTTCTTTTGCCTTCTTTGTGGGCCTCTTGAACAGGACAGGATTTAAACCAACCCCATGCCTCCAAAACTCAGAGAAGGCAGGCCATCCTGTTCGGTAGCAACCTCTCCTTCACTGCTGCAGCAGAGCATCCAGCCAGCCTGTGTCTTGCCTTGTAGATTTTCCAGACAGGAATCGGACACAAGGGTACTGGAGCCCACCCGACCCAGCAAACTCCAGCAGGCATACGCCGTGACTTCAAGCCGCTCTCTCTTACTTGAGTGAAGGGGAACGCAATCGCACCTGTTGGTGCGGGTGAAGGGATGAGTTATGTGGCCAGTTTGGGCACCTCCTTATAAATTCTGCACATGCTCTAGTACAGACTGCTACAGATGTGACTGGTTAACGTGAACTAGTTGATGTATGATTGGGAGGTAGGGGAATGATGTCAGTAAAATGTATAAGTTATACTGTTTCATGAATGTATAAGTTATACTGTTTCAAGTTCTCTTGGGTAAGGTGCCAGAATTATGGGAGTTGAATTTTGACCTTCAGCAAGGAAGGAAGAAGCCCTCTGCTTGGCTCCTGCACGAGCAACCCTTTCGGTTCTGTTTTAGGAATACTGAAAATGGGCACTTAGCCCTGAGGCGCTCTCCCTCGCCTTGGGCTGCTCTGGGCCCACGGGAAGGAGGTTGCTCTTCCTTCAGCACCTCCCTTAATACAGCCCCATTGTCTCCGCGACCCAGTTCCCCCTGTGCTGCCTCTGGGCTTCCACAAACCACCATTTCCACTCAGCTGTTTCTGTGCTTCTTTAATGTCCTCAGAAGCAGCCTCCAGACTTGCTAGCCTGGCCTGTCCAAGTTACCTCCAGAGGTACCAGTTCTTGATTTGGTCTGTGCTCTGGTTATAAAGTTACATAGGCTTTGAGTGGTCTGCCCCAACACTGTTTCTCCCAAAAACCATGTTATTTTTAGTGTGGGGTTTTTCCGAACTGAGACTTCTCAGGAATGTGTGTGTCGAGTTATATAGCAGCAACATCTGTACCTTCATTGGAATTTGCTGTCTTTGCCCTTCAGCTCAAACTTCATTTTAATATCCTATTTAGTTTTAAGGAAAATATTGCTAACCTTTTAAAAAAAAAAACCCATATTTTACAGTATGCCTATCATAGCTCTCTCTGTTATTAGATAACATAAAACTTATGTAATATATTATTACTTAACATAAAAGGAATCTGGTTGTATATATAACTGGCCTCACATTATAAGGCCCATCTATATTCTGTCTTTGTAAGCACCAATACACAAGAATTTACAGCCTTTGTTTTTGGAAGGGAAAATAAAAATACAATACCAAAAGACATTTCTACTTTTCCACTTGAAATAGTTTTGTCTTAAAATAAATAAAAGTATCAGAATATAGTTTTGTTTTGCCCAGAATCTAAAGTGGCTTAATATTTAAAAATAATGTTTCTTGTGTAATCACAGATTCATTAATTAGACGTTTACCACAATTTCAGCATCAGTTATCCTCTAACCAATGTTTGAACCTGGCTCAGCAGTTTCCTTTCTTCAGAACAAATCCTTTACCTCCAGACCCTATTTCTAAGCTTCTGGGTTTTTTTCTCAGCCCTGAGGTTTAGGAAGCACATCTGACTCAATTTACAGATGTTGTTTTGAGTATATTCTGGGTACCCAATGTACGTTTTACTTAGTTCAAGATTAGAGAGTCACTGTGCTTTAAATTACAGGCAAGAAATAAAAAATGGTTACATAGCAAAAACTTTAGATAACTTGCACATGGATTAGCCACCTTTGAAATATTCCTTATAGATGTTTCAACTCTTGCTTTCTTTATACCACCACTAAGCACATCATTGCTCACACCCTCTACCCATCTGTATTGGCATGTTCCTGAGGAATACACACTGTTCTCAATATGAAGTTAAAATTATATAAATCTGCAGCAGAAATGTTATTGGATTTATTACAGATGCCATAGAGAAATGATTTTTAAAATAATCAATTGTTTACAATTTCCTCACCCTGTTCTTCACATCTATTAATACAGTTTTTGATTTTTCAAAGTTTTACTTGTTCTCAGATCATAGCAGTTAGCCTGCCCAAAGGAAAAAGGTATATAGTTATTAGATTTGGGGCCTGGACTAAAGCCTAAGGAGTAGAAGAGTTGGAGAAACATGCATACTTTGGCCCATGAACCATCATGAAGCTGTTTTTTCTTGTATGACAAGGTGATGAGGGTGGGTGCATAGAGAGGAAACATTATTTCATGGTATTTACTTTATGTAAGCAGGTGTCCTCTATCTTCTTGAGTTCAGAATACTAGGCATGTGTTTAAGAGATGTGACTATTTTTTCAGATTTTGTTCTTATCAGCAGCTTCTCCAGGTGGAATGCTAATGATGGTTTTCTTTTTTTTATAAAGGGCAATCAGATTCTCAGTGGCCTCTCCATTGAAGAATATAAGACCACGCTGAAAATAATCAAGCAAGCTATTTTAGCTACAGACCTAGCACTGTACATTAAGTAAGTTTTAAGAAATATGTTGATAAATAGGTCTTGGATGTGTTTGTATTGTTTCAAACTTTAAAAATCCACACTGGGGTATTTTTAGATTATAAGGACAAATGTCCTGGCAAAGCTGTCTATCAAACTGTCTATCAAGCAGTTTCTCAAAGGAAGCCAGAAAAGTCTACTCCTTCTGCTTACTTAATGCTATAGAAATTACAGAATACAGAGTTATTTCTGATGTTTGTCTCTGAAATAATGCGCAAAGCAAATAACCATCTCAAGGTCATTCCAAGCTGGGTTGGCCAACCTAAAGATTCTGTAGGCCATTTGCTTTTCCTCCTTTCCTTCTCTCCCCCAACTTCTGACCATTTCACAATTCCTTTATACTGTCATCCAAGCTTACGTGGGCTGGAAAAGGAGCTGAGTGCCAGACAAGTAAATTTTGTTTCTTTTTATTGGATTTTGGCAAAAGAAGGATATTATGCGGAACTTTAATGAAGTTAATGATTCAAAAATTAAAGTATGCATTAGAGTGTATTAGGGATGTAGGTATGTTTGCACCATTAAACTGCCTTTCTAAAAGCAAGGAAAGACATTGCTGCCTTTGGGCAAGCATTCGTTTCCCACACAGAGACTGAGGTCTTTGCTGCACGTTTGGGAGTGAGGGGAGTCCGGCATTCACACTCAAGGGATTTCTCAGGAACATGGGCCTCTCTCCCTCTGTACAAGGATGTGCATTATGGTTTTAGCCACTGTTTTGAGAAGTAAAAACAAACAAGAAACACACAAAACCATACACCAGATATCCTCTGCTGTGCATCTGAAAGTAACTACATCTAAAAGGGTCTGTTTCCTTGGATTTTGGAGCACTTTAATTAGGGTAAAAGAAAATATAGTAAATTTCAGTGTATTCAAAATGATTGCAGAATAAAGATTATCAAATTACCAAGAATTTGAAAAATACCTCTAACCACAGAGACTTCCCGACCTTTCCAGGCCACATGGGTCTCCCCTCTGAACCCTTTTGAAACGTCTTTTCATTTTTGGTACTTAGTCACAGACGGGCAGTTTTGTTATGTAAGTTTCTCTTATGTTTGTGTCTTTGACTAGACTTTAAACACTGTGAAAGGAACTCATGTCTAATAATTTCCCAAGACGCCTAACAATGTTGAGCACATAGAGGTATTCACTGTACAGTGAATGAATATTAGTTTATACTTTACTTGGTCATTCTTTGCTTCAGAAGGACTTCACAACTTTATAGTGACAGAGTAATTATTATGAACATTTTTTACCCTATACCATAATATATGTGAATGAGGTATATGAAATTAAACTGAAAGCATATAGATCTTATTATGCCATACGCAAAATTTCTTAAATCATTCTTGGCATCAGACTTTTAACTCACATTGGTTCATTTTCTTAAAATCACGTTCAAGAATTGAAATTTCCATTATTTGTGATTTGTAGTTAAAAACAAGGTGAGATTTAATGTTTCAACCAAAGAATATGGTAGAAGAGAAGAAGGTAAGGTATTTAAGATTTTTAAACGATGATTTTTATATTGGATTCTAAGATGAGAAAAAACCATTAGAGATTTTTTCCCCCAAAATTTTACTCTATGAGTCTTTCTAGACCAAAGGGATAAGAGCTTGGGGGACTCATCATAACTACGAAGTATTTGTCTTTATTTTGAAGGAGGAGAGGAGAATTTTTTGAACTTATAAGAAAAAATCAATTCGACATGGAAGATCCTCATCAAAAGGAATTGTTTTTGTAAGTAGGATTACTATCCTTAAAGCTGAAGTTTTGCTACCTAATTTTATTGCAATTATTTGTTACAATGTGATGATCTTATAGGCTGTCAGAATTCTTGAGTGTTGTACAAAAATAAATATTTGCTTGAAAAGAAATGCATTTGCAAATTCAAGTGAATGAATCACTTTCGTCCTAGAAGGACCTTTAAAATGTGGTAGAGTATCAGTACCAGGCTATAGAGTTCCCTTGTTCATACTCACAATTCTTTGGAACTGAAGACCTGAAAATAGCATCCTAAAGAATGCAGGAGCGAGAACATGGCTGTGAAGTGTTTACTTCTCTTACGTGATAGCAGAGTAGCGCTGTCAGAACTTAAGGGTTTCTGTTTTTCCTCACCTGTTCCTCTGCCCCTCCCTCCCATCCTTTGCTATTATTATCACTGCCTTTGTCATGACAAGAACTGGATCAATAAAAAAGAGCTAAGTGTCAACAATAAAGAAAAGATAGAGGTAGTAATACTAAGGATAGTGCTGTATTACAATTTTATAACCAACATTTCTTTAAATAGATTGGTATTACTTCACATGCAAACAAAGATGCAGATTATAAGGAAACATACAAATGCCCAGCTGTCTGTTCTCTATAGTCATGCTTCACCTAAGAGTCTCAACGTGCTTTTAGAACAGTGCCTTAGAAAAGTACGGACACGCTACTGTGATTCGTGAACAGTTTTTCTCAATGACAAAAGTGGAATCTGACCACAATTCCAAGCCTGTGCCACAGTTTTCACTGCTCCACTCTCCTAACTTCTGACCTCTCGGCAGACAAGCACTCAGGACATCTAGTGCTTGCGTTGCCTCTTCCACTCTTCACAGTCCAGATTGTAGTTAAGCTCACACACGTGCGTAGTCTTCTTTGGGGGAGGCAGTTTGTATTGGCAAGTATTATTGAAATCCTTCATGATTAAAGATTTCTCTGGTGCACTCATTACTTGCGAGAGAGTTGGTATAAGAGATAGAATTAGAGGCAGAAAACCATTTTCTCTGTGGCCTAATATGGTTAGGGAGAATGTACTTTTAGGTTGGGTTTCCTTAGAGGGATAAGTGATACAGTCCTTCACCTTGAGTGCTTCTATATGACAGTGACGGCCTTTCTGCCTATGTCTTCAAACAAATTAAAAGGATTAGATGGCAGGTATTTGGACCTGACATGGGAAAACACTGCACTAAAGAGAGAACTATTTTCATACAGTAGTTTTATATAATATTGAGCTGTAGAGCGCCTTGTCACGGACTCCAGACTCCAGTATGGTTTCCAACTTCTCTAACAAGCGAAGGAATAACCAGCATCATCCTTTCATTTCCCTCTTTTCTCCAGCAGATACTGTTCAATAATTCAAAGGCTTTTCACAGAGGAGTCACTACTTTTGTTGAGTGAATTAGTATGACCCACCATAGTTCTTGCTGTCACGGAACTTTTGTCAGTAGGACAGCTGAAGTTATCCTTTAATGGTTAATTATTAGTAATCAATGTGTTTTCATCATACTGTCACTGAGATTGGAAGACCAAAGTAAAAAAAATAAAAATAGCAGGCAAGTTTTTGCTCAAAGGTTAATAATTTCTCTCCTGCTGCTAATCTGGAGATAAATGAGGCAGTGTGAAGGCAAACTCCAGTAGTTCACTGGGTAACCAAAACAATGACACTGTGATATCACTGTATCAACCCTGCTTCTATGTGAATTCTATTTCTGTTTCTTTAGTCTATAAACTGCCATCCTCGTAGTTTAGAGGGTTTTAATTTAACTTTTTTATTAGTAACTGATCACTAGGGTTTATATTCACATAAAATTAAACAGGAGTATTGGGCTTCTTTTTCCCTTAACAGAGCGATGCTGATGACAGCTTGTGATCTTTCTGCAATTACAAAACCCTGGCCTATCCAACAACGGGTATGTTGCTTAGTGATGATAAAAGTAATAATTAAAAAGTCAAAATAAGAAAAATCTTTGCTCTTAAATATAGTTTTTGAAGTATTGGGGGAACTTTTTATCTAAATTTTAAGTAGTATTAAAAGCAGATAATTGGACATAAACAGGTTTTCTTTTTTAGAGGACTCGTTAGCACTTAATAATATCTGTAAGATATATTAAGAAAGAAAGCATCTATATTAACACAGCAAAACCTAGCTGTTGATAAAGCTTAATTCCAGTACTACTGCTGGCTTAGTTGGGGATTTTTTTTTTTAACACATCCCTTTAATAATATTAAAGTTTAGAAGAAGCAAACTTAATTTTCTTACGGTTAGCGTATTAGGCTATACCTCAACTCTAAATAGGCATTAACAAGTAGAACTTAAACACTTCTAGTGCTTAGAAGTATAGGACGTGTTGATATAAGATGTCAGGAAGGATCTGATCAGGGCCTGTGGCTAGGAGGCTAGAAATACATCCTCTCTCTAAATAAGTAACTGCTGTAACATTTTGCAATGGCGATAAAGGCCCTAAGCTAAAAGAAGGGGTGGGTATATATGCAATGATGTGTATGTTGTGGTTTTGTTTTTTTGAGATTACATCTTGAATCCTAAATGTACTACCTGAGATTATTGACCACTGCTGTTGGTCACAGCTCTGGGCTGCATAGTCATGGAGCCCAGTAATGACAGGCTCATCTCATGAAACAAATGCTGAGAAAACAGTATCAGGAATGCACTCTGCAGTGTGTCAAAGCTGACATGCCACAAGCACTCAAGAAATGTCTTTATAGACCTTCCTGCTCCATAATAAATAAGACTATACGCCCATTTCCAAATAGGAAAGAGAATGGAAGAGGGAACAATTTGTCTTTTCATTTACTCTTTCTTTTTTCTGAATGAAACCCTGAAAAAGTACAGCAGTGAAGTTGGGGTCCAGACATAAAAAGCAACACTATAAAGCCTCTATAATTAAAACAGTTTGGTATTGGTGTCAGACCAGTGGAACATAATAGAACATTTAGAATTGCATAGAACGTTTAATATATAATAAAGATAGCATTTCAAATAACGGGGGAAAATAGACTTTACTAAATAAGGTTAGGATGATTTTCCCATCTTCCATAGCTGGATGGCAAAAGATGAAATTGGATCTATTCTGCATACTTCCAAATGGGGCATAGAGTTCAGTGCAGAGAATTAAACCATACAAGTACTAAATAAAAACGTTTGTGGATTCTTTTATAAACAAGGAGTTAGAAAAGTTTCCTAACCATGGCTCAACATGCAGAATCAATAAAGGAAAAGACTGACAAATTTGATTACAAGAAAATTAAAAAATTAAGAAAATTTTTTGCATGGCAAAGACACTATAAGCAAAGAAAGACAATGAAAAACAGGTAAAAATATTTGCAACTTTTATCTGATAGATAGTTAATATCCCTAATATTAAAGAACTTCTTAAAAATAGAGAAGAAAAAGGCCAACAACCCTACCGGAAAATGAGCCAAAGATTTGAACAAAAAGTTGATAGAAAAAGAAATGTGAATGGCTCTTACTCATTTGAAAAGGTTCTCAGAACCTCAATCATAAGGAAAGATGCAAGTTAAAACTACACTGACACATGGAACTTCCCTGGCAGTCCAGTGGTTAAGATTCCGTGCTTCCACGGCCGGGGGGCGGGGGTTCGATCCCTGGTCAGGGAACTAAGATCTTGCATGCCACGTGGTGTGGCCTTAAAAGAATGAAACAAAACAAACAAACAAACAAACAAACAAAAACTACACTGACGCAAAAGAACTTGTACAGAATCTCATTACAATAACAGCGTTACTCCTAATAGTCAGAAACTAGAAACAATCCAAAAGTCTCTCAACAGGAGCATGGATAAATGTATTGTAGTACACTGCTCCTTCACACAGTGGAACACTGCTCAACAGTGAAAAGAAACTGAAACTGATACAGGCAACTACATGGATTAGTCTCATCAACACTAAACTGAGCAAAAGAAGCCAGATACAAAAGAATACTGTTATGTCATTTATGTGGTGTTCTGGAAGAGGCAAAAGTAGTTGATAGGATAGCGGTTGGGTGGGGAGGGAGGGAAGAAGGTGCAGGGATTCACTGTGAAAGGGCCTCAGGGCACCTTCTGGGTGACAGAAATATTCTGTTTCTTGGATGGGGTGTGTGTTACCTAGTTACATGCATTTATTAATATACTGAACTGTATACCCGTGGTCTATGCAATTCACAGTATGTAAATTCTACTTCATTTAAAAGAAGCACGGAGACACCATTTCTCAATTGTCCGATTGGCAAACACCCAAAGGTTTCACAACATACTCTGTTGGGGAAGCTGTGGGAAAAAAAGGAATGCAAAATACTATAACCCTTTGGAAGTATATGAATACACAAATTCATTTACCATTATTCCTAAGAATGTTATCCCAAAAATGTACTGGCAAGAATATAAAAAGACATTTACACAAGCCTATTCATTTTAGTGCTATTTGTAATAGCAAACACTGGAAATAACCCAAATGTTCATTAATAGGTTACTGATTGAATAAACTGTAGTACATTTACATGATGAATCCTTTGCCAACAGCAAAAAGAAATGAGAATTCTCTATATACTACCAGGGAGTGATTACAAAGATATATTATAAGTAAAAAAAAAAAAAAAAGCAAGGCAGAGAAAAATGGGTATCGTATCCTACCATTTATCTGAGAAGGAGATGAAATAATATATGTACATATTTGCTTATATTTTAAAAAAACAGAAGGATTAATCACAAAAAAGTTATTTTTTTCCCTCAGGGGAAGGAGGGAATAAGAGGGAACAGAGATATAAGCTAGAGTTGCTTGCATATACTTGTTTTGTAGATTTAATTTAGAACCATGTAAATTGCTCTTAGTTATAAAATAAATTGAATTTTTAAAAAATCACTTAACCTTGAAAGTAAAATGAAACAAAATGATTTTGGTTGCAGAACCACACTGAGAGGGACTGTTTTATTCCAAGTGACATTAAAACAGTAATTTGACCATATAACTCTGGTGAGATGTACACTGAGAACAAAAAGAACTCCCCCAAAAAAGAAACCTTTAAAACTGTTTTTAATCATATGAGTGGTAATTTTGTATAGATATTCAGTCACCATTGTGGGTGATGTGGGATAAAAGCAAATGAAAAATTATATTGGTATTGTTGAGAAGCAGGATTTTCAGCATGAGTGGAAAGATAAAGATCTAAGGTGGATAAGGTTTTGCAGAAATCCTGTAGTCCTGAATTTGAATAGGAAATACTGTATGAACTTACGTTGTATCTTAGCTCCATCCATTAAAAGGGCTTAAAAATAATGATCACCCTGGTAGTAATGAATGAACCTAGTGCCCAGATTGAGGTCTCCAAATACCTCAGTTTAAAGGAATTAGGCCTCCACAATGAAACGGCTGATTGTGGTTCCAAAGCAGGCAATGTACAAGATGAGCCTAGAACATGTTGTTATAGCAGAAAGCAAGGAAGCTATCAAAGACTGATGAAGCCATGTCAAAAGAACAAAGAAGCCAACTTAATATGCTCTCAACTGGCCAAAATGGAACAACGTATGAGTGTCAGTGAGGATTGAAATACATTATAATGTTTAAATCCAAGAGATCAAAATAATAATAAAAACAATAAAACCTTCCATAGCCATCTTTGGTGGATGCTTGAGAACCAAGTTATTTTTTTTTTAATAGTAACTAAAGTAGAGAAAACCAAGTATTTCTCGTGCTTTACTTATACAAATTGTACTTTAGGGCAGGGGTCCCCAACCCTCGGGCCAAGGACTGGTAACTGGTCCATGGCTTGTTAGGAACCGGGCCTCACAGCAGGAGGTGAGCGGCGGGTGAGCGAGTGAAGCTTCATCTGTATTTACAGCCGCTCCCCATCACTCCCATTACCGCCTGAGCTCTGCCTCCTGTCAGATCAGTGGTGACATTAGATTCTCATAGGAGTGTGAACCCTACTATGCTCTGCGCATGTGAGGGATCTAAGTTGCATTCTCCTTATGAGAATCTAATGCCTGATAATCTGAGGTGGAGCTGAGGTGATGCTAGCGCTGGGGAGTGGCTGCAAATACAGTTTATCATTAGCACAGAGGTTTGACTGCACAGAGACCATAATAAATCAGTTGCTTACAGACTCGTATCAGAACCCTATCAGTGAGTGACAAGTGAAAACAAGCTCAGGGCTCCCACTGATTCTGCATTACGGTGAGTTGTATAATTATTTCATTATATATTACAATGTAATAACAGAAATAAAGTGCACAATAAATATAATGCACTTGAATCATCCCAAAACCATCCCCCCCGACCCTGGTCCGTGGGAATATTGTCTTCCACGAAACTGGTCCCTGGTGCCAGAAAGGTTGGGGACTGCTGCTTTAGGGTAACTAAATAATTGATATGGGGAACTTTATTTCAGCTATAAAGGAAAAAGGAATGATTGCTTTGCATATTACCTTTTTGCAGCCTCTTAATTAGTGAATCTAGACAAAGATCATGAAGGGTTGTTAATCTCACAAAGAGAAGCAACCAGGCATTATACAGCCCTTGAGAGAAGTACAGGGCACTGCCTGTGCAACAGTCGTGGCCAAAAAAAAAAAATTCAAGTCTCAATCTAATCAAGTGTCTAGATCTCATTACTGGTGTATGGAAATACAGGGTACAGAGAAACATTAAATTTCATCATGCGAACACAATCAACAAAATCCAGACAGTGGAATACTGCAGGATTAACAACCCAGTTTATTCAACAACAACCAAAATTATAAGGAATATTTTTAAAAAGAGAAGAGGAGGAACTGGTAGATTAGAAGAAACCTAAAAGGCATATCAGTCTCAGTATATGGACCTATTTGTTACTGTGTTTTACACAGCACCTCATACAACAGATGCTTAATAAATATATCGTTGATTATGCATACAGATGGGCACACGGTACTTTTTTTCCACTGACTGATGAAGTTGAAATAATGTTGCTTTTTTCTGTGTAATTATAGAAGATTACAAACTCTAGCCTTTGTGATTAGGTACACATTAAAACAAAATTTCTATTAGTTGTTACTGCTTTATTCTAAGTTTACTGATGTGGTTGAAAGCTACAGCTTTGATAGATTTTATCTTCATTTAAAGTCTCTGTTTTACAGAGTAATATGCTTTTATTTACCCAAACTTAGTCTGTTATTGATTTCAGATAGCAGAACTTGTTGCCACTGAATTTTTTGACCAAGGAGACAGAGAGAGAAAAGAACTCAACATAGAGCCTGCTGTAAGTATGAGACCTTGCTGGTAGGAATTATTCATATACATTTTTTATTGTAGACTCTTTTTATGCTTCTATGAGATCTTAGGCACAGAATTTCTTATTATTTTTTTTTTATTTTATTTTTATTTTTTTGCGGTGCGCGGGCCTCTCACTGCCGCGGCCTTCTCCCGTTGCGGGGCACAGGCTCCAGACGCGCAGGCTCAGCGGCCATGGCTCACGGGCCCAGCCGCTCCGCGGCACGTGGGACCCTCCCGGACCGGGGCACGAACCCGTATCCTCTGCATCGGCAGGCGGACTCCCAACCACTGCGCCACCAGGGAAGCCCCTCATTATTTTTAAAAACTTTTCTTACTAGAAGATTATACATGTTTGCTACAGAAAACAAGCAAATAACAAGTCATCATATTTTACCTATATTTTGTAATTTACTTTTTCCATTTAAATATCATAAGCCATTTTTCATTCTAACAGATGCTGTCTTATATATCATATATAATGGTTACATGAAATAGATGTAACCATAATTTACTTTTTGGTACAATGTTTGCAGAGTTCAGTATTACAAACAGCACTTTGATATCAAACATCTTTGTTGCTAAACATCTGTGGGCCATTTTTCATTACCTTGTTAGGATAAATTCCAGAATTGCTGTGTTGTAGGGCACACAGATTTTAAAGATTTTTTGATACATACTGCCTTTTTGTATAGTGTA